GTGACCAGGATTTTGAACCACAAAAGTGTCTATAGAACAGAAAGAGCCAATGGCCCAAGTCTTAAAGGGCACAACCAAGCGGAGTCTGGGCAGACTGATTGACAATGAACACTAAGTTTATTACATCCTTTTGCTTTGAAAGCATAAGCTAATAAGATTTTGCTAATGTTCCCTTGCTCCCTCAAAAAGCAGCTCAGATGTATCTATAAAGGGCAAAAGAACTCTTGGGCAGCATTTGTGTCATGAATTCTGACATCTCAAAACTGACGTAAAAGTGGAAAAAATATACTAAAATTCCTTTGCAGTGCCATAGCTAGAAAGGCTGCAGACATCACTTTGTCCTAGGAACAGAGACTAGGCTGATAACAGAGCTAATCCTCTCTGTTTCCTCCTCCCCTAGGTGTATCAGTCACCTCCAGTAACACGGGCGTGCCAGATATCTCGGGTTCTGTGTACTCCAAAACCCAGGTAGGTGCCTGGTCTGGATGGAAGTAGAGATGGATGGAGTTAGTAGAGGTAGAGTTGAAGTTAGAACAACCCAGAAGAAGTGTCAGGAATCTATCCTATCTTTTCTAAAATGAATTGTCTCTAGGTTTGAATTTTTGTAGGACTTTAAATTTAGTCCTCTGAGGGGGAAAAAAAATGAGAAATGTCGAGGACAAGTATGGTAAATTGTAATGTGATGTCAGTGGCCCTGGCTCCTTGACCAACCAACTTCCTACCTACCATTTTCATAACCTCACAGGAGAATATAGAAATGAAGGGAAACTAGTTAATTTCACTGTTTATAAGTTCATAACTAACAGTGGGAATGAAGTTATTCCTGAGTTATCTACAGGAATGTCTGTTGTCATTTTTTATGGCTCAACACCTTCCATGCTCAATATATCTCACTTTGTATTCATTTCTTCTAAAATACCTAAGGAGTTTTAATTTATACTAAACCATGAAGGGAGGAACACCCAAACTAGTCAGCAAATGTCCCTATATTCACATGAAATTATTTTTATTTATTTTGAGGAAGGGTTTCATTTTATAGTCCTGGCTGACCTGGAACTTTGTGAAGACCAGGCTAGTCCCAAACTCCAGAGATCCACCTGAGGCTAAGTGTTTGATTTGCTAGGGCTAAGACTTGAATATTTGACCTGAAGTGTGCTACTGCTTTTAACTATGCTACTTTCTGAGGATATAAGGGGTTTTGGGTCAGAAAGTCCTAGGATTCTTTTGATGATCCCTTTTTACTATTTCTCCTATTATCTTGGGATAGCAGTCCTTTGAGAAGCAAGGGTTTCATTCCGGTACTCCTGCTGCCTCCTTCAACTTGCCTTCAGCCCTAGGAAGTGGAGGGCCCATCAATCCAGCCACAGCTGCTGCCTACCCACCTGCCCCCTTTATGCATATTCTGACCCCCCATCAGCAGCCACACTCTCAGATCCTTCACCATCACCTGCAGCAGGATGGCCAGGTAATAATAGCCTTTTCCTTTCCCTTCCTCTTCCTTCCTATCCCATAAAACTACCTCCCTTTTCCTTTTCTTAACCTTCCTTACCACCACCTTCACCCAGCCCTCACCAGTGCCAGCCAGGGGCACACAGCACATACAGACACAAGCGCACATAACACAAGCAGTTAGCAAAGGAAACATGAGAGAATGGGCCAGACTGAAACCCTTTTGTCCAGTTCCTTTGGTACCTTTCTCCTCCACCTCTCATGGCACAGTTGTCCTCATCCTGTCAGACCTGGGTCACACCTTCCCTTTTAACCTCTCCCAGCCTTCTCCCTTCCCTGACATTATAGATTTCCCTTCTAACTGTAGAGTTCTATTGTCAAAAGTTTGTCCCTTTATTTTCCATATATCCTGGTTCTGCCTCAGCTACCATATTTGCAGATGATTCTCTGTTGCCAGCGCCAGCAGGAGGAGCAGGTAATGAAACTGACTGATAATATGCTTGAACCAACTTTTTTAGTCCCCATTTCATCTCCACAGTCTCAGATAACTTGAAAAGCCTACCAAATCACAAATCGGGATACACAAACAGAAACACTATGCTAAGCTCTCTGGCCTCCCCATCCTCTCTCTTCTTCTCCCCTCAACACCCTCTTTATCTTTCTACCCTTCCCCAACTCTGGAAAACACTTGGTTACCAGAATGGAAAAGATTCTTGGGGCAGCATCTGGAGCCTGATGCCTCAAGTCTTTCCTGTTTCATCTGAATTGGTTTCACATTAATGTGTGGTGGTGGGTGGATCTGAAGGGTGGTAAAAGAGACCTTTTAAGAGCTCCAACATAGGTGGTTGGGCAACTAGAAGAGGGCTTTTTTGCTCTTAAAGATAGCTTTTTATATTGCGGCAGCCATTGAGATGAGTGAAAATGTAATCACCTGTGATCACTCACTTTAAAAAGGCGAGAATTCTCATAGTTGACTTTTTTTTAGACCACGGCATTGGGTTGTGGGGAAGACAACTGAACAGGAATAGAACCAACTCACCATCTTATCTTCAAAGTTTTCTTGTCCACTTTTCATTTTTCCTCTACTTTAAGGTTTAAAAAAAAAAAAAGTCACCTTGTAAAAGAGGCTATGTTGACCAAATTTTCTATGCTTGAAAAGTAAACTTCATAGTAGGTTCTAAGTAAAGGAAATGAGAGAGCATGACTATTTGCACATTTCCACTTGAAGATGTTACAGATTGGTCCCACTAACTAGACACCTTTTTCCTTCCCCATAACCTTCCCATTCCCCTGCAGACGGGCAGCGGGCAACGTAGCCAGACCAGCTCCATCCCGCAGAAGCCCCAGACCAACAAGTCTGCCTACAACAGCTACAGCTGGGGGGCCAACTGAGGCCCTGACCCTCTTCTCCCGGTCCCATCTTCTGAGAGGGCTTCTCAGCCTGGAAACTATGGAAACAGCATCAAAGAGAGAAAAGAATGTGGGGCGATTCCGCTGCTCCACACCCCCAGCGGCCCATCCCACACCTCAGCTTCATGTCTTTCCCATTCCTATACCATCCCACCCTGTTGTATGTATTATAGGATTTGTATTTTCTCCCTCCCCACCCCTCCTTCCTCTTATTCCTTCCTCTTTGCATTCAAGATTATGAAACTTTGCTGTGGGCCCTGCCTTTCATTCACTTCTTCCTGTTCACCCTGGTGGTGTATGGGTGAGGTGGGAAGGTGAAACCCCTCCCCCAAATATATATCAGCCCAACAGCCCTAAGTCTCCTCCTTTATTATTAGGAAAACCAAACCAAACCAAACACATACACACATATACACACACACACACACACACACACACACACACACACACACGGCGTCATAAATATGAACAGATGGATTAGTTGAAGTGGTTTTTTTTGTACTGTGTCCTCAAATTTAATGGATTAATGTGTCTTGTATATATATATACATATATATATATATATATAAAAGGAGAAAAAAAAACCAAACCTCTACCTTCAGCCTCTGCCCATTCTTGCTCCGTCTAGGATATCCTCACTCTCGTCGATGACCAGCTTGGTGAATAAGTATTCCCGTACCAACTGGGCCTCTTCTAGCAGGCTCGAAGGCTGTGGAATAAAGTGAAATCTTTGCCCTTTATGAACTCTCACCTTAATGTGCTAATAGAATCACTACAAACCTTCATTTCTTCTAGAAACTGTCTTCTGCAGCAAGTTTCAGGAAGTGAAGGGGGAAGGAGCTAAGGACATTTAAAAGAAAAAAAAAAAAAGACAAGACTGGGATTCTAAGGATTTTAAAGGATTCTGAAGTCTGAAGCCAACATTAGCTGTTGGCTGACAACACTAAAGCTTAGGCCCTTTTCCCTTTGCAGAAGTAGACGATAGTAGGTCTTGTTGCTTGGGTTTTGTTTTTGAGACAGTCTCACTGTATAACCCTGCTTGGCCTGGAACTTGGTATGGATACCAGGCTGGTCTCAAGTTCAGAGGTCTGACTGCCACTGTCTCTTGAGTGCTGAGGTAAAAGGTTCTCAGCACCACACCTTTCCTTGCCTGTTTTATGTGGCTTAGAAATTTACAATTTCTTGGAGAGGGGCTGATAATGGTACAGCTACACCTGGGGTGAGGACATGGTGCAGTAAAAGATTTTGGACTTCGTTACATGGAAAGAGGAGTTTCCTTTTTCTTTATAAGAGCCTGAGACTCAACATATTGCCAAGGATTCAGGAGATTCACTTTCAGCCTTCAAAACTGCAAGTATCCTGGCTGGGATGGGAAGGGTGGGTGTGTATTTTGAGTCAGGGTCTCACTGTAGCTCTGTGGCTGGATTGTGTGGACCAGGCTGGCCTCATACAGAGATCCACCTGCCATTGCCGCCAGACTGCTGGGATTAAGGATTTGCACTACCGTAACTGCAGTCTTGGTTCTTGAGCAGCTTCTCTTCCTTCCTAGTCCACATGTTTTACTTTAAAGCCTTTAAAAGAAAAAATCGCATATGTCTATGGTGTCAACTGCCTTTAATCCCAGCACTTCAGGAGGCCACCCTGGTCAACAAACCGAGTTCCTGGACAGCCTACAAAAACCCTTTGTCGAAAAAACAAAAGTTGAAAAAATGTTTATGGCCGTGACTATCTAAAGAGATTCCTAGCATTCCCGTGTCTTTATTCAGTAGTAGAGAATATCTACTATCCTATCGCGCTGATAGCTTGGTAAAACACTGCCCAATCTATATTGGACGTCAGTCACCTCAAGCAGTCTAGAAACAAAACACGCGGGGGTCGGGGAGAGGTTGTGCTGTTTCCTTAGCCTGGGGTAAAGCGGCCCTCCAGGCAGGCCGCTCCCTCTGGCGGCTACCTGGGACCATCCCTGGGAGAAACGGAAACGCCCCTTGGGGGCTGTCTGACCCGCAGGAAGGAGAATCACCTAGATGAGATGTGATCCGTGATTCCGCACGCCCACCCTTACTCAAAACTGAAAGGTAGCTTATACAAGCTTCGTATCTGAGGAGCGCCGTCAACCCCGCCTCTTCCTCCTCCGGGTTACAGCCCTTTTACGACAGTGCAGTGTCGTGTGCTTGCTTTCCGGCAGCGAACGCTGAGCCCTGGCTGTATCCGTCAGCGCAGCGCAAGTTGGGCATTTTCTCGTGTCAATGGGCTGCAGAACGTTAAAGTTTCTAGTGCCCCTACGGGAATGAGCTTCTTTGATCTTTTCCGAGGCTTTTTCGGCTTTCCTAGACCTCGGAGGTGAGACTGGTTCTGGGCTGGACATAGGGAGGGGTATTCTGGGGGACGCTTTGTTCTTTCCTTTCCCGCTCCCTACAATGCCTGCTGAGAGGACAGAAATCTCAGCCTTGAATACTCACCCCGCCCCACTAACCAAAGTGGTGGTTAAGAGCACAGAAACGGTACCTTTCTGCAACTGGGGTGATGCAACAGGGACCTGGGCGGAGAAGACAATGGGGGTTTGAGGAAGAGGACCATGAGCAGGTCCTTGGGCAATCTGTGGGCAAGGGGGGAGGAGGAGCTGAAGAAGAACCATGGGGCGTCTGTTGGGAGGTGCGGAGAGGCTCTGTTTAGAAACAATACAAAACACTAATAGATCATCGGCGTTGTTTTGAAGCCAGCTCTCCAGTTTTCTTCAGCTGGCCAGACCTCTGCCCTTGTCCCGTTTTGCTGCCCGTGGGTTGATTTTTTTATGGCTTAGACGGTGTTGAAATCCTCGTGGCTTATCTGCCTCCACTCCCAGCCACAGAGATCCTTTTTTTGGAGGGATGACTCGAGGTGATGACGATGATGATGATGATGACGAAGAGGAGGAAGACAGAGGCACCCGGGGTCGAGAGAGCTATAGATTTGATGATTTTCAGCCACCAGAGGAATTCGGTTTCAGCTTCAGCCCCGGAGGAGGGATGCGGTTCCACGGCAACTTTGGCTTTGATGATCTAATACGAGATTTCAATAGCATCTTCAGCGAGATGGGGGCCTGGACCTTGCCTTCCCACTCTCCTGGTGTGTGGATTTCCCTGAGGGAGAAACTGAGGGTTTCTAGTGGGTTAGTGGGTAAAGTAACAGACTTTGCATAGTTGGGAATGAATAGTGTGCAAAAATTGATTTCAAAAAGATTTAAAGTGTTTTAAGTTCTTTCCTATCCCAGCATCAACTACCAACTTTCTACAGAACTTCCAGGTCCTGAGTCAGAAACACCTGGTGAGAGACTGCGGGAGGGGCAGACATTGCGGGACTCAATGCTTAAGTACCCAGATAGTCATCAACCTAGGATCTTTGAGGGGGTCTTGGAGAATCATGCAAGACCTGAATCCCCCAAACCAGCTCCAGATTGGGGGTCCCAGGGACCTTTTCATAGGGTAAGTACTCTGTCTGCACCTGAAATGCAGTGACTAGAACTCCTACTGGAGTCTCTTAGAGTCAGAACTATAGTTCCTCCAATTAGTGCATTCATCTGGATTTTCTTTGTTGGGCATTTTGTTTTGAAACTTGGAGCTCATTGTCTAGATTTAGAGATCTGCCTGCCTCTGCCTCTGCCTCTGGATGAAAATGTGTGCTACCACACCTAGCCTAAGATTTTTAAATTTTCTTTTGTATTTATGAGTATTTTGCCTCCTTGTATGTCTGCACCACATGTACCTGGTGCCCCCAGAGGTCAAAAAAGGGCTTTGAATCTTCTGGAACCCAAGTTACTATGGCTGTGAGCCACCATGCTGTTGCTGGGAACTATGAACTATGGTCTTCTGCAAGAGTGACTCCTCCCCTCTCTTCCTGTTTTGTTTGTTTATGTGTTTTGAGGCAGGATCTCTCTGTAGCATTGGCTGACCTGGAACTTGCCATGTAGACCATGCTGGCCTCAAATTCAGGGATGTGCCTGACTATGCGTCTGAATTTGTTAGCTGGGATTTTTGTTGTTTTTAATATTTGTTTGTGTACGTCTTTGTGCCTGTTTGTGTATGTGCATACCATGTGGGTGCAGGTGCCCGCAGTGGTGAAGTATCGAATTCCCTGGACCTCTGAGCTGCCTGATGTCCTTTGGATGAGCAACAGCTGTTCTTAATTTTGAACCTACACACCATCTCTCCAGCCCTGTTGCTTCTGTTTTCTTTTTGTAGTACTGGAGCTAGAATGGAATACAAAGGGAAAATTCAGGAATTTTTGTTGTTGTTGTTGTTTGGTAAAGTCCATATAAAACTAAGGAGGAAGGTGTGTGAACCCAAGCTTCCCAAATGGAAGTATTTCTGGGGTTTTGAAACTTAGGAGGAGTCTGGGGTCTCTGACCCTTTAAGTTTCAGATTGGAAGGTGTCATTTCATCGACTGTGTATGGCTTCTTCTACAGTTGGATGATATATGGCCTGTGACTCCCCATTCTAGAGCCAGAGAGGACAATGGTGAGTCTGGAGGGAGGGCACATTTACCATGTCATTTTCTTGAAGTTCTTGAAGATGTTTCTTCCTGATATACTTGTCCTATTTCTTCCTTCCACTCTCCTGGCTTTTCATCTCTCTGCCTTTCCCAGATCTTGACTCCCAGGTTTCCCAGGAAGGTCTTGGTCCACTTCTTCAGCCCCAGCCCAAAACATATTTCAAGAGCGTCTCTGTGACCAAGATCACTAAGCCAGATGGGGTGAGTTGAGCTAGAGCAGTTTAAAAACTGGCCAGAGAAGCCTTCTACTGGTTACTCATACTTTTAATCTCAGAAGGCAGAGGCAGGTAGATCTCTCTGAGTTCGAGGCCATCCTGGGCTACAGAGTGAGTTCCAGGACAGCCAAGGATATACAGAGAAACCTTATCTTAGAAAACAAAACAAAACAAAAAAAAAAAAAAAAAAAAGGAAAAAAAACCTGCCCAGATAATGCTCAACATAGTTGTGTTAAGAATATATTGGGGTGCTCACTTCGGCAGCACATATACTAAAGTTGGAAAGAATATATTGGGTCTTCTCCTTGCAGACAGTGGAGGAGCATCGCACTGTAGTGGACAGTGAGGGCCAGAAAGAGACCACAGTGACCCATCAAGAAGCACCTGGCAGTTCCAGAAGTGGTAAGTTAAGAGTATGACTCAAAAGGGGCCATCTCTTAAGTCCTTGGGGAAAGAACATGCCTACCTTTTGATATTTTCTTCTGGGTTGTTTAGTCTGTCAATATATATGACTTTCTTTCTTAGATCCGGTGTCCCAAAGATCTTCAGCTTTGGATGATCCCTTTTCCATCTTGGATTTGCTCCTAGGACGTTGGTTTCGGTCCCGGTAGCCTTGTTAACCTTCAGAAGCCTTCAGGTCCTTTCCACTCCCTTCCCATTGCCCATTGCCTATAAGCTTAGCTTTTTCTGTCATCCTAGGGTCTTGAGTGTGTGAAACAATTAATTAAGCTTATGCAGTCTGTCATTCATCCAAACTGACCAATAAAGCCTTTATTTATGCTAAAGGTCTTAGTCTTGGTTTTGTCAACGTTCTTCTGATTTCCAGACCCATCCAGAGTTTCCAAAATTTTCTTGGCTTACAATTTTATTTTGTGAGTGTACACCAGGGGTTGTATGCACATGTAGAGAAGTCAGAATAGTATGTAGGAGTTCGTTTTCTTCACAGTGTGGGTGTGGGAGTCTAGCTCAAGCTCTCAGGCAGCAGATGTTTTTACCTACAGAGGCATCTCATCAGCCCTTCAATTATTTTTTTTTCCATTTCCAAAATAAGATTTAATAAATGAGTTAGACATACACAAAAAATGATTTTTATTACTGAAGAAATAGAGATAATTCCAGAAACATTTCTAGAAAAGGATATTTTAGATTGCTGAAAGGTACCTTTACAAATGTTGGGTGTGGTGGTGCATGCTTTTAATCCCAGCACTCAGGGAGGGAGAGGTCGGCAGATTGCTGTGAGGCCAGCCTGTTCAACAAAGCCAAGACTATACAGAGAAACCATGTCTGTTGGTATAATGTTTTTGTGGGATGTATACAATTTACCCTTGTTCATTCGCATGTTGATTCTCTACCCTGCTATCTGGTTTCAGTCAGGACATTGCATGGTGATGCTAATTCTAAGCGTCACCTGTCTCGTTTGTGTAAACATGCCACCATTTGTTCTCTGTATTGCCAGTAAAACAACCAGCCAATGCTGAGCAATGGTCCGGAGGGAAGGAGAAAGAAGCAAGTGGGAGAAAGGCTGGGTGAGAGATCTGAGAGATGAGGACCTGGAAACATACCTAAGATATGACTAAAAGCAAGTATAATTTTGGAATGAATGGGAGGAAACTATGCGTGCTTGGAGGTTTAGGATGGAGTAACTATTGCCCAGCAATGTATTCTAGGTTAATTAAATAAATCCTAGTCTCATGTGGTGATTTGTGTATACAGCTGGTTTAGGACTAACCACTGTTTTAAAGATAAAACAATAATAAATATTAATAATCGGCAACATCTGTCTCAAAAAAAATCTGTTTTTGCTTCTTTTGTTTGTTTTTGGTTGGTTGGTTTTGGTTTTTATTTTTAAGGCAGTTTCTCTGTGTAACAGCCCTGCCTGGCCTGGAACTTACAGAGATTTGTCTGTTTCCTGAGTGCTGGGATTAAAGGCATTTGTCATCTGGTTTAGATTTTTTTTTTTTTTTTAATGAAAAAAATCTAAAGTTTTCCTTTAAAAAAAAATTAATTTATAGCCCAGCTGTCTTGGAATTCACTATGTAGTTCCAGAACAGCCAGGGCCGCAAAGAGAAACCCTGTCTCAAAACAAAACAAAGCATAACAAGAGGTAGTAGTTTAAAGGATGGAGAGATGGAGAGATGGCTCAGAGGTTAAGAGGTTTTGGGTTCAGGTCCCAGCAACCACTTGGTACCTCAAAGCCATCCTTAATGGATCTGGCGCCCTCTTCTGGCCTACAGGCACATATGCAGGCAGAACACTGCATAAAAAATAAATAAATGAAATCTTTTTTAAAAAGAGAGAGATAGTAGTTTAAAAAGAAAAATTTGTTGGGGTTGGGCGAGGTGGTAGTGCCTGTTAGGCAGATCTTTGAAGCCAACCCAGTCTACAAAGTTCCAGGGCTGCCAAGGCTACACAGAGAAACCCTGTTGCAAACAATCTGTTACTTTGTTTTCTTACATTTTTTGGTAATAAAGCTTATTTCTTTCTCTTAATCTCTTTGGTTAGTGTGCATTATTTTTTGTTTTGTAAATCTCTTCTAAACCAAGATTAAAACAATACTCTTCTGTGTTAGCTAGTTGTTTTTAAAGACACATGAGCTTGGTGGTGGTACAGGCCTTTGAGTCATGAACCTTGAACCTGAACCATGTTTCCAGACCTGATACATCTTTCATACTTGTACTTTTTCTTTTTTAGGTTTTTAAATTCTGGATTTGATCTTTATATATGGCATATATATGAGGAAACCAAGTTAAATTTTTTCCCCATGTGGAAAAAAAGTATATTGTTGATTATATAAATATTTACAAATACCTTACCTGGTAACAATATGATGGTGTATGCCTTTAATCTCGATTTGGGAGGCAGAGAGGCATGCATATGTGTGAATTTGAGGCCAGCCGGATCTACATGGCCAGTTCCAGGACAGTCTAGAGCTACATAGAGAGACTGCCTCATAAAACAAATAAAAATATGCATGCAAGCATGCAAACATGCAAACACACCTGGGGTCTTTTGGTTCAACAATTAATCCACTTGTCTACTCAGTGTCTGTATCCCACATTTTTTACTATGTGCATGCCTGGTGCCTGCAAAGATCAGAGGTAGGCATGAGTTTCCTTGGAACTAGAGTTGTGAGCTACCATGGGTGCTAGAAAATGAACCCAGGTCATTAAAAGAGGGAGCAGTCAAAGCTCTAAACCACTAACTCATCTCTCCAACCCTCTTTTATAAATTTTAAATATGATAGGGCCAGGTGTGATAGTGCCATCTATAATCCCAGGCACAAAGACAATTACTAAGTTTGAGACCAGCCTGGCCTACAAAGTGAGACCCTGTCTCAAAAACAGAAATGCCATACTTTTGTTTAGTATTTCTTATTGTTCTGCTCCTCTAAATTTATAGAAGAATACAACTGAGGGCTGGAGAGATGGCTCAGAGATTAAGAGCACTGTTTGCTCTTCCAGGGGTCCTGAATTCAATTCCCAGCAACCACATGGTGGCTCACAACCATCTATAATGAGATGTGGTGTCCTCTTCTGGTGTACTTGCAGGTGTACTTGCAGACAGAACATTGTATACATAATAAATAAATCTTTAAGAAAAAATACAGTTGGTGTTTTTTTTTTTTTCTACTAGTCTTCAGTGTTTAATCAGAAATAGATTAGCAAAGACATGAGGAAAAGCTTCTTACATAAGTAATGAATACTCATACAAACAGAACTTAGGAAAAGTTCACTATACAGAGTAAAACTTGGGGAGCAAACATCTCTATGGTTTTAGAAGTATAATGTATGAAAATGTCATAATAGAGCTGCCAGATTGTCTTAGTAGGTAAAGATCATGCCTGGCCATCTTAGTTCCATCTTCAGGACTCATGTGGTAGAAGAAGACTGATTTCCATAAGTTGTTTTCTGACTTTTCTCTATGACACATATGTATCCATAACATACACAACTGTAATGTAATAAATAAATTAATATCATAATGATCCAATGAGATAGTTCAGCCAAAAAAACAAAGCAAAAGCATTGAGGCTGACAACTGGAATTCAATTCCAGGACCCACATGGTAGAAGGAGAACCAACTCCCACAAGTCACCTTCTGACCTCTGCTGTATAGGCACCAGGGGGCTTCTCAGCCATGCAAGACTTGCTGGTTTTGCAAAGGCTCTGAGAATCCTTCAAAACAACCCCATAAATCCTCAGATAAAAATCACTGACAAAAGAATACTTCAAAGCCTAGGCACCATCACTCCGGAATTCATGCCAAATAAAATGGTTCTGCTGACATTTTACCTATAAGTATGTGAATGCCTACTGCAGGCAGCCTAGTGCCCAATGATCCTACCCTTACACCAAGACAAGAAGTCATATTCCCAGTGGCTCTTGCTAACATTTTAGGATTATATGGGACTGCCCTCCTTCCTACTTCATTACATAGCCTGGAGCTACACACACAAAGAAGCATCATCCAAATATAACAGTGCCCAAGAGGCCCATTGACTTAAACTGCAGGGGTATTCTGCTACAGCCCAGCTCAATTGCCCTCTTCCAGTGTACTCAGTAAAATAAGGTTTCTAAAATAAATAAAAATATCTGTCAACTGGGGCCTGGAGAGATGGCTCAGCAGTTAAGAGCACTCCTCTGGAGAACCTGGGTTCAATTCCCAGCACCCAGATGACAGCTCACAACTGTGTAATTCCTGTTCCGGGGGATCCATACTATCAGGCATGCATGTGCGTGCAGGCAAAATACCCATACACATAAAAGAAATCTTTTTTTTTTTTCAAGTTTTATTTTTTTATTCATACAATATTCTGCCTGCATGTACACCTGCATGCCAGAAGATGGCATCAGATCCCGGTATCCCAGACCCGAGTGGTTGCTGGGAATTGAACTCAGGACCTCTGGAAGAGCAGTAAGTGCTCTTAACCTCTGAGCCATCTCTATAGCCCCATAAAATAAACTTTAAAAAAATACCCATACACATAAAATAAATCTCTACAAAAAATACCCTTTCATATAAAATAAATCTTAAAAAAAAAATTACAACTGGGGCTGGAGAAATGGCTCACCAGCTAAGAACATTGTCTTCTCTTCCAGAGGATCTGGGGTCAATTCCCAGCAACCACATGGCAGCTCACAACTGTCTATAAACTCCAGGACACAGAAATACATGAAGGCAAGACACTAATCAGTGCTCATAAAATGAAAATAAATAAATTTATAAATACATAAACATCTATCAACTAAGAATGTTTTAACACTTGCCTTTAAGAATAAAAAGTACAAGCTGGACATGGTGGTACATGCCTTTAATCCTAGTGTTTGGGAGGCAGAGGCAAATGGATCTCTGAGTTCGGGGCCAGCCTAGTACAGAGTGATTCCAGGACAGTCAACACTACAGGGAGAAACCCTATCTTGGAACAAACAAAACACTAAAGAATCAAAGGAAAAATAAAAACTAAACAAAAAGAACATGCCAGGAGGCAGAGGCAGGCTGATCTCTGAGTTCAAGTCCTGCTTGGGTACACAGAGAAACCCTCTCTATGTTAAATTAATAAACAAACAAACATGAATAAAAGCAGATTAGACATGCTTGACAAACAAGCAATTTGTTGTAAACAGACTTGTGCTATAAGAAAGAAAAGCCAGACATGGTAGCTCATGACTATAATCCCAGAATTTGGAGCCTGAGGTCAGATAATTACCAAGAGTTCAAGACTAACCTGGGCTACAGAATAAGTTCCAGGTCATACTGGGCTAAGTGAAATCCAGGGGGGGGGGGG